GATTTTAAAAAAAAACCACACACACAAACATAATGAAGCATGGCTCTACAGTTTTATGATCAGGCACTTGGGGAGAAAAGGGCAGGAAATATTAGGCTTTGCACGTTTGCTCCAAAGAACGTCTAACATAAAACAATTAACTTCTGAAATCAAGGATCAGAGCCTGCATGTCTCCAGTCTCGGAGGGCAACATCTTCTTATACATCCTCTTTCTGGCTCAGTGAATCGTGTGTTCTTTTTCTGGATAGTAACATAGCTTCAGCCAGGAGAACTGAAGACAACACACATCTTGGCAACTGGGATATTCGCCCAGAAAGTGGAAGATGTAGGTTGATCTCTCCAGGCAAAAAAGGAATCTGAAGCAGGGTCTACCACATTCTGAACAAATGCTTTAGCTAATAGTCGTTAAAAAGCAGCAGCATCTCCTCTTCCAACTACCTTCTAAAGCTGTCGCTGTACTTTATAGAAGACTGACTCCGCAGCACACAGGCGTGATTGGAGAATTCTCACCTGACTGAACTCCCCAGGAGACTGTGGCAAAATAACAACATCCAGAAAGCAGACAATCGTGAGCCAGGCATCATGCTAATCACCTCTCATGCAAGTGGAAAAAAAAATAGGTATCCTAGGATCTTTAAAGCTATTAGCTATACTGTGTACAGTGCTTAAGCACCTTCAGAGCTTGATGATGAGAGAGTGAGGACTTTCAGGACTTCAGTTTTGACCTCAAGCACCTAGAACAGCTCTGTTAAAGTATTTCTATGAACCTATTTATTGATAATAGTTAGGGGAGAGGGGGATCAGAATCAGAGGTATAACCTCATGTAGAGATTGTACTGAGCACTTTCACGTCTTCCCAAACTCATTACTGAGACAATTAACACTAAACCACAGAATACTTTTCCAGAGTGGACATTATATGGAAAATAGGAACACCTGTCAATTAATTCCAATTTAAGTTAGCCATCTACCCAGAGCTCATCTTTTTATGTAATGCAAGTTAGTGAACTGCATAGGCTTAAAAAGCTATCCGTTATAACAAATGCACATGCTTGACATGTATCAGTTTGCTTATTTATTTAATCATTACAATTTTTTCCCCCACTATATTACTGTTAATTTGATCTATGTATTCGATTTGCAGCATCCATTCTCTGGGCAGAATCCCACAAATATCCCCAAGCACGTGTCTGCTTTAGCACATTGTTTAAATAAACCTACTGGAAACCGCTCAGGGATAACAGACAATAGAAGAGTCAGAAAATCATCTACGTTTATTATTTTAAATTCATGTGTAAGGTTTTGATTATCTACACAGTATCAACACAAACAAGGTAGTAATTTCAACATTATTCTATCCTTCACATTAGAGCTTTCAACATTTGCTCTCTCAGTGCAGTCATCTTTTGTATGAAGCATCCCCATGCCAGCTTTACAAGGACAACACTGCTCATCAGTATACTGTATAAAAGACTAAGTATAGTACTTCCGAAATAATAAAAACTAATTGAGCAACAGCTCGTGCATAGCACTCCCCCAATTTTGCATATAATATTCAATCCCCTAGCTTATGTTACTGATTTAATAACATGTGGGTCTTGGCTGAACAGTCAACTTCAGGTTCACAAATCCACGTGGAAAGCATTACCAGAGCACTATCTCTGGGCATCTTGAAATTTCTTAGCAAACAGTAATTGGGCAAGATCCTGCTTCTTTCCCTCCAGCCACTCTAAATGGCACAGGATTTCTGTGTCGCAATTTACAAACTGGTTTGGTTTTTGATTTGTTGTTTGTTTGTTTTGTGTTTTTTTTTGCCATGCACCTACTCTATCCTACAATACAAAGAAGAACAAACGCCTTGTGAATTACATTTCACTTGCACTGCATCAGCATATTTAGGCGCAGGCAAGCGACTGAAGAAAGTACCAGAGGCAGACCTGAGGGTTCTGCGGGCAGCATCCTACAAAAACCAACCAACCAACCAAAAAAAAAACCCCAACCAAACAATCGAAGATGCCAAACTCACAGAGCACCCCCTCCAACTCATTTGCAATTAGGAACTTGGAAAGCAAGGCAAAATATTAGAAGCGATGCACTTAAATCTGAAGAGTAACTTACGCTTGGCAACCCAGCACCGTCAATTTAACAAGGCGGGGTGGGGGGCGGTCCCGAGAGGGCTGCGCGCAGCCAGCACGGATTGCTCCTTCTGGGGTTTGCCCCGGGATCCTCAAGGGATGGGACAGCCCGGAGAAAAAACCGTCCACCCCGCGGCGCGGGGAGCCGGCCCATCCCACCGGCGGGGCGGTGAGGGGCACGGCGGGGGAAGGCGAACTGACCCCTTCCTCCCTGCCGCCTCCTCCTCCTCCTCCCGCCTTTGCTCCCTGCCGAGCGGGGGAGACAAAAGGGAGGCGGGGAGCCCCCCGCGGCCCGGGGTTGCCGGCGGGGACGGGAGCGGGGCGAGCTCCCGGAAATCCCACAATCCCCGCGGCCCCGGCGGGAAACCCTTCCCCGCCCCCCTCCTCCTCACTCCCCCGGGCCCTTCTACCGGGAAACCCCGGCCCAAAACCTCGCACGTGTTGGCGAAGGGTGGGGGGGGGAGGAAGGGGCGGCTCCGCCTCCCGCCGCTGAGGGGGCGCTAAGGGAAGGAGGGGGAGTACTGAGGAAAAAGGCCCTCCCGCTCGCCCGGGGGTGACCCGCAGCCTCCCGCCGCCGCGCCTCACCTGCTTACTCCGGACGTAGGGAGGCTTCGCGGCGCCCAGGTGGTACCGCCGGGTCCGGATCTTGCCGCCGCCGCCTACCCCCCCGCCGCCGCCGCCGCCGCCGCCTCCCGAGGCCAT